AGATAGAAGAGACCTCCCTTAGAGTGACAAGCATGCCATACAGCATCCATCAAAGAAGCTTCTTTATGCAACAGACAGAAGCTACTGTAGAGTTGCTTATCTGGTCAGGCACAGACAACATACACCTGGGAGATGCCCAATACTGGGTGACACATCTGCAGTCGAGTCTCAATTGAACAAGGACCCAAAGGGGAGGTGAGAACTGGGTGGCGGGCCAGCACTAATTGAGAACTATTTGACACTGACTGCTGCTGGGTGAGGGAGAGTATGAGTTACATAGGACCACGGGATGGGCTGACTAGACACCAGTGGACATATTTACACTGACAGACATTTGGGTACAAACACCTGAATGAATAGACTCAGCGTGTATGGCAGAGTGCAAAGGGTTCAGTGGGGGGATGGGGGATGCATGGATAGGGGAGAGGGTTTGGATTTGAGTGGGAAGTGTATGAATTTAAAAAGCTCAACATAGGGACTGGAGAGATGGCTCAGCAGTTAAGAACACTGACTGCTCTTGCAGAGGACCGGGGTTCAATTCTCAGCACTCACGTGGCAGCTACAAACCGTCCTTAACTCCAGTTCCAAGGGAATCTGAAGCCCTCTTCTGACTGCCGCAGGACTGCACGACACAGGTGCACTCACATACATGCAGGCAATACATTCATACACATAAATAAAAATAACAAAATATTTTTTTATTTTTAAAAAGCTAAATAAATATAAATAATAAATAAATAAATAAATAAATAAATAAATAAATAAATAAATAAATGATGGGCTGGAGAGATAGCTCAGCAGTTAAGAGCACTGGTTGCTCTTGCAGAGGACTCAGGTTCACATCCCAGAACCCACATAGTGGCTAACAACCATCTTTGACTCCAGTTCTAGGGATTCTGATGCCCTCTTCTGACTTCCACAGGCATTTCATGACACAGGTGCACTTGCATACATGCAGGAAATGCACTCATACACATAAAATAAAAATAATAAATTTTTTAAAAATACCAACTAGAATTTATTGGGCATTTTATTACCTTAAAAGAGAAACAGCTGACTAAAGAAAACTAACTGAACTACCAAAATAAGGCCAGCAACTTCATCACCAATTCAGCAAACCAAAGCTGACTAGTGTCAAGAAAGAAGAATAACATCAGGATAAAGTCTTGAAGCTGGGGAGATGGCTCAGTGGGTAAGAACACTTTCACTGTAAGCAGGAGGATCTGAGTTCAAACTGCCAGCATCCACATAAAAAGTCAGGCCTGGCTATGTGTGCCTAAGAAAGCTCATTGGCCAGCGAGCCTACCTGGTTCTGTGAGGACCATTCTCAAGGCAGTAAAGTCGAGGGCAATAGAGGACAACCCTTGATGTCCTGCTGTGGCTTCTGTGCACACATACATGAGCATGTGCAAAACACACACACACACACACACACACACACACACACACACACACACACACACGATCTCAAGTCTGGCTCAGATTATGTATTTGTCAAGATGACTGTGTCAGCCACTTGCTGTGCATATGTTTGGCCTTAAATGTGCATTCTTTTCCTGCCTTCTGCAGTTGCTGAGATGGGGGCTAGAGCTTCCTGCCTGGCACAGGCCCTGTGTCTTTTACTTAGAGCACCAGTGCCAGGCCTGAGCAAGGGATAACTTGAGATTGGGAAACAGCAGAAGAAGCTAGACAAAAGAGAGTTATGTAATTCTGTGGTCAGAGTAAATGTGTAAGGGTACCCAGACACCCAGGGTACCTCTTCTAACCTCTGCAGGCATGGCACAACACGGGTGCACTTACACATATGCAGGCAATACACTTATACACATAAATTTTTTTTTTAAATGAGTGATTTGGAGGCTGGAGAGATGGTTCACTGGTTGTGAGTACTGTTCTTCAAGAGGGCCAGAGTTCAGTTCCTATCACCCACTTTACGTGGCTCACTACTGCCTATTAACTTCAGCTCCAGGGGATCAGGTGCCTCTGTCTTCCAGGCACACACATCCATACACAGATACATACATACACATAATTTAAAGTAATAAAAATAAAAATTTTTAAAGAAATGATTTGCCAAGTTTTGTCCCTGGAATCATCTAACATTTTTTCTAGTTAATATCACAGTTACCACAAGATGTCACTCTTCCCATGTTCAAAACCAAAAAAACTGTATGAGAAAAGGGTATTAATACACATATACTAAACGGACAGCACTGAACTTCCAAGTTAACATGGAAAACTTTAAAACTTATTATATGTAAGAATAATAAATGCCTTGCCCCTCTCTGAAAATTTACAGGCAGTTAATGGTTGCTGGGAGACATTTTCTTCAGTGGTTTCATCATTGGTAGGTTGCCTATGTTCTTATAAATAACGTTCATCCATGTTCCTGTAAGTAATCCTAATGAATCTCACTAGTTAACACACACACACACACACACACACACACACACACACACACACACACACACACACAAAGACATGAAAGTAGGAGCAGTTGAGAAGATGAAGGGATCAGCAGGAGTGGAATGGGGTTTACAAACTTGCCAACGTCTTAAGAATCCAGATGAAGGATATACATAAGATTTACAAGGAGTTGCAAAAATAGTAAAGACCCATTTACTCAAATAATAAGCCTGTTATTAAACATTTACTCAGGCCAGGCATGGTGGTACATACTTTAATCCCAGCACTCAGAGACAGGCAAATCTGTGAGCTCAAGGCCAGCCTGGTATACAGAGTGAGTTCCAGACCACCCAGGGCTACACAGTGAGAGTCTGCCTCAAACAAAAACAGTATTCTCATTTGTTGCATCGCCTGCCATCCTTTCATCTCTGTATCTGTCCATCTATCTAATTTTTGAACTCCTTGAGGTTATAAATCACAGCCCTTTGCCTGAAATGTTCAGTGTATGGTTCCTAAGAACAAGAGTCTTTTTTTTTAATTTATTATGTTTTAAAATTGTATGTGTATGAGTGTACTGCCTGCATGTAGGTAGGTATACCCTTGTCATGCAATGCCTGCAGAGGTCAGAAGAGGGCGTCAGATTCCTCAGAACTGGAGTTATGGATGGTTGTTAGCCACCATGTGGGTGCTGGGGATCGAACCCAGGTCCTCTGCAAGAGCAGTCAGTGTTCTTGACCACTGAGTTATCTCTCCAGCCCCTGGATCCTTCTTTTGTTATGTAAACACTGTGTTATTATCAACTTCATAAATTTATACCAACATATCTTTATTATCCACAATTCAATTTTTGATCATGACTTTATACCCTCTCCTCCGTAGTACTGGACCTGTCTAGACAGAGGTATTACATCTCACTATTATATGTCCTCAGCTTTCTTTCATCTGGGACATTTCCTAAGCCTTTCTCTTTCTCAACACTTACGTTGCTAAGGGCTGCAGCACCCTCCCCACCTCTGCTATCAGAATATTTGTCATGTTTGCTCATGTCATGTTCCTCTGTGATTAATGGATGTCTCAGTTAGAATACAGCCTCACCTCTGTTACACCGCCTCTGTCATTCACATGAAAACCCAAGTACTATCAAATTTCTCACTGCAAAATTGTTTTCTTTTTCTCACTTGCAACTAATAAACAATTCAAAGAAAATGGATTAGGTTCATGTAAATATCCTATTTCTCAACTTCCTTACATATCCAAAATAATGAAAAATAAAGTTTAAAAGAACTGCTCATGTATAAGACAAAGAAACTTAAAACCTGAGGCTTCCTTCCACCACAATATAAAATCTTCAGAGTAATAAGAAAAACGAATAAATGTTTAAAAAAAAAATCCATGCCTTGGTTTTAGAATGATGCCAGATTAGTATTTTTCTTAGTTATTCTTGCAATCACTAAAAATAAATAGCTTTTCATAAGGTCTAGAAAATGACTCCATTATCTTTTCACCTAAAGAATTCTGCTTAACAAACTATCAGCAGGTGCTCGATTTCTGCTGTATAAAAGCAAGATGTCACTGAAGTCATAAAAAGTATTTTTTCCAGTGTGGTACTCTAGTGTTAAGTGTAATTTTTTTTAACTAACTTTTGAGTGCTTTTTTTTTTTTTTACTTACAGCAGGCTTTCATTTAATTATTATAACATATACATATACTTATAGCATATATATACATACATTGCATACACATATGTGTGTGTGTATATATATATATAGTCACATTGGACATTCTCATATTATAAAATTGTTAAGTCTCATTAAAATTGAATTAGTGAAGTCAATGAAATAAAGATTTAAGCTAGTTATTTTTCATGTAGAAATAAGTCAATAATAGTAACAATTAGCTAGGCCCATACTAAAACATTTTCTTAAAGTACCTTTGATCCTATTCAGCTTTGAAGCCCTGTAAGCATATTGCTATTAACTGATTCTTTTCTGCAGTGTTGTCTTTATCTTGGATATTTTATGAATAACGTACAGCTGTTCTAAATAGCAATTACTGTTTATCAGATTATCACTAAAAAAATGAGTTATTACTGAATCATGAGTATGCTGTTTTAATACCCAGCCCATATTATAAAATACCTCAGAACTAATATATATTCTTTTCTGATCTTGGTAAAGGTCAGAAGGTTTATATATAAATGGGCTTTTTCTTTTTTCTTTTTTTTTAATTCTTTTTTCCTTTATAAAAAAAATTTTATAATTTGTGGTACTATCGGTACTCTATTTTTTAAAAAGTAACATTTAACTAGATGGTTTAAGTTCGGGTCTCTGTCTGCCTTGCCAGTAAAGTCCTCAATTACAAAAAGAAAAAAAAAAAATTCTGCTTAATTAGGCACAATTAAAAGCAATGCTTCTATTGAACAGTTCTTTGAGAACAAAACAGCAACCCAAAGACTGTCAGCTAATGTGTGAACTACGCATCTGCCATTTGTGTATTTCTGCCACGAGCTGTGTTACTGCCTCTAGACTACATGCTAGTCAGAACTGGTTTTAATGCTAAACACAAAAGAAATGACAGGTTCTTCCATCACTTACTCTCTAAGTCAGAGATGATGAGGTTGTCATGAAGCTTCACAGCTCGATGTTGTTCCACTTCATCCTCGAGTTCAAAGATGGTTTCCTTCATGTCACTCCTTTCTGTCTCTTTTTCCTCCAGTTCTGATCTTACTTTTTCTAATGTCATATTCAAATCTTCAATCTGTTTCTTGGCTTCTTCTTGGAATACTCGGTATTCATCTTCTACCTATTAAAAATTGATGAAGGATTTTGAACACTAGTTATTCTAGATAAACCTAGAAAAAAGCACTTACTGTTTTAGTAATGGAAGCCGAGTCTGAGCAGATATGTATGAACTGAAAAGCCTGTGTGAGAGCTGCTAGAAAACATGAACCAGCTATCTAAACAAGACAAGATTTTTATGTGATAGATCTGAGCATAAATTTACTGTATCACTGACTAAAATTATGCTGATACATCACTAAACTTAACCAGATTATTTATGAGGCATTTTTTGCCTATTTTCCCTTTTTCAAAGTTTGAACTAAACAAATACATGCATCTGATTAATGATTAACATGCTCTCCTACAAAAATGCTATTATTTGTGACAGATTCAAAAATAAATGAAATATAAAATTATAAAAAGCATGCAAGATGGCTCAGTGGGTAAAGGTGCTTGCTGCCAAGCCTGGTGACCTAAATTCAATCACCAGGAAAGAAGAGACTCCTCCAAGTTGTTCTCTGACCTTCAACCACACACCATAGCACATGGGCACAAATAATAAATAAAACACAACAAAACTTTTTTTCAAATACTCTTTGCTAAAGTATTAGAGTTCACAGTGTTCTGGCAACACATATCTCCTAAATTTTATTTCTAAAAGTGATCACTAACAGATTGATGAGATGGTTTAGGGGGTAAAAGCGCTTACTACAAAACCTGAGTTCAATCCCTAGACTTCCACAAATTGTTCTGACCTCCACACTTACACACACACACACACACACACAAATGTGGAATAAATTAAGAAAGTGGTTAAATCTAAGTTGTTCAAGTTTTAACCAATGATGCACTAGAACTTCTCCCTTTGAAAATCACTGCACTTGGGCTGGAGCTACAGCTCAGTGGTTAAGGGTGCTTCCTGCCCTTTCAGAGTTCAGTTCCCAGTACCAACATCAGGCAGCTCACAACCACCTAGAATTCCAACTCCAGGGGATCCAACACCCTCTTCTGGTCTCTGTGGGTACCTGCCCACATGTGGCATACATTCACACAAACAGATGCACATACACACTAAGAAAGAAAATAATTACATTAAGACAAAAAATAAAAAATTAAATGTGAGGTGGAATAATTAGATATCTCAAATAACTTGTGCAAAAACACTCAATTCAACAATGAGGAGGATATAGAACCCTAGTCAGGAGACCAGCAACCTGATCAGCTATCCTCAAGGTCTCTGCAGCAGTGAATCCTGGACCTCCAAGAAACTGAAGTTCCTATACTCTAAAACTCTATTTAAAGGACAGATGTGTGGCACACACCTTTAATTCTAACATTCAGGAGGCAGAGGTAGAGGCAGGTCGCTCTCTCTAAGATCGAGGCCAGCATGATCTACTCAGTGAGTTCAAGGCCAGTTGGCTCTGTCTCAGGGAGAAAAAAAAATAAAAATAAAAAAAGCTCAAACCTCATTTTGAAAGACTCCAAGTATAGCGAACAAGAGGTCACAGACACTGCAGATCCCTGGAAACTGAAACCCTTCCATCTCATGCCACAGTTCATCAGAGATGAATATATAAAATTTCATGGCACATCTGCAGGCATACCCAGAACAAGGCACCTGGTTATTGTAAGTCTAGCCCCTCCTCCCACTGAAGAGAAAATGGTAATAAAATGACAGCCAAAGTGGCAACACTGTAAGAATACTTTTTACTCTATTCTAATAACAGGAAATCATTCTCAATTTTTGAAAAGTACAACCTTAAATAAAAGGTAATGACACATATAAGTATTCTGGATTCACAACAAGCATGCTGTATATATGGCAACTGTGTAGTGCTGAACTGGAGCATTTTTACTTAAGCAATACCTTAGCAATGGTGTCCTGTAATCGGTTGGCATCGTTTCGGGTGTGTGCTAGATCTTCCTGCAGGCTACTGGCCAAAGTCTCTGCCTTTTCCTTGTCCAGCCTAACACTCTCCAGGAGATCCTGGATATCAGACTTATCTCCAGAGTTATGGATAGAATATAGCTCGGCCACTTTCTGCTTTTCATTCTCCAGCTGGGCCTTCAGACGATTCATCTCTATCTGATCACTGGCCACGGTAGCTTTGTACTCCTCCAATGTGGTTGCCAGGGCTGCTTTGCTCTTCTGCTCAGACTCAATAATTCGCTCCATGTGGTGACTGCGCTCTTTGAGCGCGCCTATCATTTCTTGAGCTTCCTTATTGTCTTGTTCTGCCATTTTCAAAGTGTTGCTTAAATGCTGCTGGACACCTAGAAGCTGTTCTCGCTCAAAACGGGCATTCTCGGCTAAATCCATGTAACGCTGTTCTAATTCCATGTAGCGTCCACTTTTTACATCTTCATCTATGACATAAGAAATGTGATGCTCGTCTAGAAGTGAACGGAAATATTCAATCTGTCGGCCAAAGTGTTCCAGCTTATCACTCTGCTGACATAAGGACTCCATAAGAATGACCTTCTCCTCTCCGAGCCTTTCATTCTCACTGTTCAGTTCCTGGGTGATCTGCTGCAGATCGGCTAGCTCTTGCAGAGTTGCCTGAAGCTCTTCACTGGTACTGTGCTGGTTCTCTTCCATCTGGTGAATCCGTTCTGTCAAGCAAGCAACAGACACCTCACTCGCATTCCCACTGCTCCCCTTCCGAGAGCGCTCTATGCTCGGGATGCCCTCTGACTCTGAAGAGGATGGAGCATCCAGAGCATCATCACTCGAGGTGAGGGGCTGGTAAACCTCACTGCATTCACTGTCTAGGTTGTCCATAGAGTTACTGTGCTGATGGTCCATGAGTGTATTTTCATCCTGACTCAAGAGATCTTCCACTGACCCAGGAGCAGAACCTTCTACTGAAGATGTCAGAGTTCCTCCACCATCACTCTGGTTACCAGGGGTGATTTCTGGGCTCAGGGACTGATAGCCAAATAGTTTTTCAGAATTGTCTAACCTTTGCTCTAAAGAAAAACCCAGTGCATTCAACCTGTCCTTTAACATTCTGTTTTCATTTTTCAGTTGATTGAGTTCTTCCCGGATGGCAGTGTTCTGTTCCTGCAACTGCAGTAAAGTAGACTCGACATCAGTTGGCTGGTGTGCCGTAATGGTTTCCTTCTCTTCAGACTTTCCATCACCTTCAGAATGATCCTCATTAATACCCAGCTGAGCACGCATGTCTCGGAGTTCATTTCTCAAATGCAAAATTTCCACATCTTTGGTTTTTGCCAGTGTGAGAAGATCTTTCACTTTGGCTTCCAAAGCAGCTTTGTCACTGATCTGATTGTCCGATTTAGACTTGCTCATACGAACATCACATTCTGCAGCAGTGCGGCTGCGGGAACGTTTAGCTAATACCACTTCATTAGCTCCCTGACCTGTAGAAGGTAGTTTTTTGCTCTGGTTTAGTCGAGTACGTTCTCGTAATCTTTCTCTAGTAGAACTGGATTCTTTATTACCAGCTGAAGTGCTCCGTTTGGCTGATGAACTAGTGCCTACATGTTTAAAACAAAGAATATAAAGTAAAATTATCAACAACAAAAAAGTGTGCATGGTTCTGATCCCAGGCTTACTGAGATGAAAACTAGGCATCTACAATGATGTAGAGATCTATGGTTTAGTAATCTTCAAAGTCAATCTCCTTGAAACCAAGAAATCATCTTTTAATGAGCAAAGAGAAGTTATTCACCTAATTGTATACATTAAAAGGGAAAATTTTATGGACTATGAATTATATCTCAATAAAGCTATTAATAAAAAATATACCGGGTATGGTGGTTCACACTTTTAGGGGAGGCAGAACCAGGTATCTCTCTCTGAGATTGAAGAATTCCAGGCCAGCTGGGGCTACAGGGAGACTCTGTCTCAAAAATACGAACAAAACTTATATGCACATATACCAGCACAGTGCCAAAGAGAAGCTTCAGGCAACTCTGCAAGAGCTAGGTGATCTGCAGTGGATTATCCAGGAATTCAAATCCAAATGCGGGCCTGAACAGTTAGTTCACTAGGACATAATATTCTAGGGCAAGCTAAGCTAAGATTTACTAGTCAAGTGACTAACTGCAGAAAACAGAGTGAAGGGAGATCACAGATTAGTAGGAATGGAAAACAGCCTCATAATAAACCAAAAATCAAGCTACCCACAAGAAACAAAAATGATGATGAAAACAAATACAAAAATGTTTCGGATCACAAAATGCCATAAAAATTGTAACAAAAATTATAGCTGTAACTAACATATACTTAGGTTTAAATCATACATACTCAATAAAAAGTCATAGTAGTTTGAGGATAAAAGCTCCAAGGCAGGGTATTTGCTCAGCATGCACAAGGCTCTGGGTTCAACTACTTACACCACAATGGGGGGAAAAAACAAATTCACAGACATTAATTTATAGAACACTCACCAAAAACTTTGAAATAAATTGATATCGTGGTGGTACACACCTCTAATCCCAGCACTCAAAAGAGAGGCAGGTGGATCCCTGTGAGTTTGAGGCCAGCGTGGTCTATATAGTGAATTTCAGGCAAGTCAGGGCTACACAGTGAGATATTACCTCAATCCTCCTGCCTCTGCCTCTCTAGAGTGCTGGGATTATAAGCATGCACCACCTAGTCTGACCTGCTTAACTGATAAAATCTATGCCTTTGAAAACAACTGACACATCATTTGCTTAATGTAAAAGAAAAAGAAAAAAGTGTATTTTTTTTTTAACTTCAAAAAACAAGACCTTTTTATTATGAGGTAGGGTCTCACTAAGTTGTCCAAGCTGGCCTTGAACTTGTGATCTTCCTGCCTCAGGCTCACAGTGGCTGGGATTACAGATCTGCACACCATCAGGCCCAACTAGTCAGTGCATTTTTAAAGAACTGTCTTTTTATGTAGTGGACATCAAAGCTATAGAGGTAAAAGGGAAGAATGAGTTCTGTGATGTAGGAAAATGGTCATTAGTTTTACCAAAGAGCCAGTGTACAGGAGGAGCAGGAAGTCAGGCTGGTCGTAAGACTGACAAGGACAAGAAGTGAGCATGGTTAGCAAAAGGGAAGGCAAGGTCAAACAGGCAGCATGAGTTTTAAGGGGATATTTCTATAGAGGCCCGAAATCCAGGGAAGAAACAAGGAAAGGGATTATTCCTAGAAATCAACCTAGATGTTACATGTAGTGAGAAAACAAGCAGAGCAGTGGAGTAGGGTACGGGAGGGGAAGCAACACTAAGAGGTGTGTCTACACATGAGAACTTGGTAATAAAGAAGGGAGGGCAAGTCTGTGGCAAAGTTCAAAGGCAGTGGAAAAGGACAAAGAGAAGCAAGCGTAAATGGATAGTCAAAGAGGCAAAGAATGGTATGCCTTTCCCAAAATTAATTCTCTTTCCAATTACTATAAATGATACGGGACCATCTTTCCCATCAAAACCAAAAACTTTTTCATAGGAGACCAACCTGTGAATGACTGAAAGACAAAAGGATCTGAGAATGAAGACAAGGATTGACCAAGCCATAAAATGAAAGATGAAGACAAAGAAGAGACAAAACAATAATCCAAAGCAGATGGATGATCTGGTACACTGAAATCAAATAGCCTCAGAAGTGTCATCAGGAGGTGGTAACAGGTCAGCCATTGAACTGAAAAATACAGAAGTTGCTAGACGTTGAACTGTGTCCCCCAGAAACTCATATTAAAGCCCTAACCTCCAAAATGTGACTGTATTTGTAAAAAGGGGAACTGAATCAAGAGTCAAATTCAGATAGGCCGTTAGGGTGGCCCTAATCCAGGATACCTTCTGTCTTTATAAAAAGAGGAGTTTAGGACAGAGAAAGAGGGATGGCCATGTGGGTACACAGTGAGAAGGCAGAAATTTGAGCCAAGGAGGCTTCAGGAAAAACATTAACTGTCAACACCTTGATCTTAAACTTACAGACACCAGAATAATAAGAAAATTAATTTCTATTGTATAAGTCACCCAGTCTACAGCATTTTATTACAGTGTACTAGCAGACTAACAGAGGTATAAATCTCAACTGGAGCATCTAATCCAGAGAAGTGATAAATGAATCCTGAGGTCAGGTGCAATCTTTAATAGGAAAACCACATGTGCATACTGGAATCTCCCCAAGCTCAATTCTAAAGGTTGGAAAGAGGAAGAGATGTAGAGTATTCACTCTCGATTTCCAATTTTACAAGCTAGAGTATTAAATGTGGTGATGACCCCAGACTTGGAGATAAGACACTGAAGGTTCAAAACTTCTACCACCACCAGGTTTGTACCTCCTATCTCATACAAAATGGGTCCCTAATAAATAGCTACTAGGTAAATGAATGGATGACCTTTAGCAGAACTGTTAAGCTTAGCTTCAGTACAGTTTTCTCATCTCTGCAACAAGGATAAAACGTTTGTATACTTCATAAACTGAAATAGGATAAAATAATAATGCTTATAAAAAGGATGGAAATATTCTCTTAGTAATCGTACCACACCATTATTAAAATGAATAGTGGAGTGTGATCTGGAATGCAAGAAGAAAATACAGAAGTTTAAAGAGATAAGGAGACAGCAGAAAGGCTGAGCTGGGAAAGTCCAACACAGCAGAGGCTGATGGTCTACATGACGACAGAGAAGGGTCTGCTATACCACCGTCTGCCAAATAGCTTTCCTTTATGTGCTATATCATATCACAAGATCTTTTTCATTTTTTTAATATTGTATTTTTTTAAATTAATTTTGTGTATGAGTGTGTTGCCTGCATGTATGTGAGTGCACCTGTGTCGTGCAATGCCGTGGAGGTCAGAAGAGGGCTTCGGATTCCCCTGGAACTGGAGTTAAGGATGGTTCGTAGCCACCATGTGGTGCTGGAAATCGAACCTGGGTCCTCTGCAAGAGCAGTCAGTGCTCTTAACCGCTGAGCCATCTCTCCAGCCCCAAGATCTTTTTCATGTTTTATAATTATTAGTGTTTATTAATTATACAAAGTAAGGTTTCATCACATGACCTTAGGTTTACTGGAAGTTTTGAGGATTTTTTTTTTCTGTAATGTAAGAAGAGAATGATGGTAACATTCCTCCTTAGACTCATGGGTGAGTTAATACATTAACTCAGTCAAAATCTAAAACTAAACATCTGCTATGGAACACTGATGGGAAAACCAGAATGAAATAAATCTAGATAGTGATTAACAAAGGCTGACCTCACAGAAAGAGGGACAACCAGAAATGATGTCCTTTCTGATGCGCTTGGTCACGTTACCACATATGAAGGAATCTTGTTAAAAAGAAATAGGAAGACTGAATCAGCTCCATCAAGGTTATAGAACCAATGCCATTTATAGTCATTTACAGAGAGGAAAATGGACATTTTGGAGATGCTGTGATATCAAAATCTAGGCAAAGAAAACACTAAAAGTTGAGACCAGTTCCTAAAAAAATTAAATGGCAAGAAAAACCCATAGATTTAAAAGAGAAGACTAGCAAGCACAGTGACACCAGCCTTCTGGAGACAGAGGCAGACAATCTCTGTGAGATTAAGGCCAGCCTGGTCTATACAGTGAGTTCCAAGCCAGCTGGCATTATAGAGAGACCCTGTCTCAATAAATAAAACAAGAGAAGACTAGGGCTGGAGAGATGGCTCAGTGGTTACGAACACTGGCTGCTCTTGCAGAAGACATAGACTCAATTTCTAACACCCACACAGTGGCTAACAACTGTCTGTAACTCCAGTTCCAGGGGAATCTGACACCCTCTTCTGACCTCTGTGGGCACTGTAGGACACAGGTGCACTTACACAGATACAGGCAATACACTCATACACAAAAATAAAATAAATAAAAATAATTTTTTAAAAAAGAGAAGACTAAAGATATGAATCAACCAGTTATTATATAAGGATCTTACATGAATTCCGATCCAAATAAAATTAGTTTTAAAAAATTGTATGAAGCCAGGAGTGGTGGCACACACCTTTAATCCCAGTACTCGGGAGAAGAGGCAGGCAGATCTCTGTGAGTTCAAGGCCAGCCTGGTCTACATAGTGAGTTCCAGGACAGCTGGGGCTACAGGGAGACCCTGTCTCAAAAAGACAAAAAAAAAAAAAATTTTATGAAGCTGGGCATGGTAGCACATGCCTTGTAATCCCAGTACTTGTGAAGTAGAGGCCAGAGAATCAGTAATTCAAGGTCAACTATCTGGCTACATAGTGAAATTGAGGCCAGCCTGGGATTTGTGAAATCCTATCTCAAAGAAAGAAAAATCTGTGATACAGGAAGTAAGTCTAAGTACTTAATATATAATTTATTATCTACAGAATTCATAGTTATTTTAAGAATTCATAATGGCTTTCTGACTTTTTTTTATAGACTATTATCTCTTAAAGACATTGATATAATTCTGAATGAAAGCTATACTGATGCAGATCTACATCAGTTTGGATGTAGGTCTAAAATTTATTTCAAATAATAAGTGGTCTAGAATGTGGCTCAGTAGTAGAGTTCTTGTCTATCATGCACAAGGAGACGCTGGATTGATTCTCTGCAACACAAAAACATATGTATAAACATACATAGACACATGTATACATACAACAAAGGAGGGTAGATATGAAGCCAAAACTGACCAAGTTGGTAGGTAAAGTTGAAGACATTAAGATGGATATTAAGAACAACACCCATACCTGTGCTAATCTTAGATTTGCTCTCCACAGTGGTCATGGCAGGGGCCAATGCTGAAGAAGCTGCAGATGAACAGGTGCTTTTCTTTCCTTTAACACCATTAGTCACGTTTACTCCTCCAGCCATTCCAGCTAAAAGGTCATCATTGCTCTTGGTCTAGAAGCAAGAGAAAATAAAAACAAACTGACTACATGAAACAAAATTCAAGTATAAGCAGAGTTCTTGACTTTAATACTAAATTTAAGAGCTCTACAGAGACTTTCCGACATTTAATGAGCAGAACACTTCTGTGTTACAGAATCAGACATGGAATGTCTTACAGTTTGCAAGCAATCACAAGCTTCTCTCTAACATACTAAAATCACACACACACAATCAAAGACTTTATGAATGACTGCTATATACCCACATGTACCAGATTTGATGGAGGATGGGGACTAAAGATACCATCTTTGTTACTCTTCCATTTAGGATGTGACTCACAAACAGGCATCATCTCAGTGAAACCATATGGGTGATATGAAAATAGTCCTATACCACTATACGGTAAAGTATCACTTGGAATTCCTCAAAAAGATGGAGAGATGGCTTAACAGTTAAAAGCACTGGTTGATCTTGCAGAGGACCTGGGTCTGGTTCCCAGCACACATGTGGCAGCTAACAACCATCTATACCTCAGTTCCAGGGGATCTGATGCCCTCTTCCGACCTCTGCAGGCACTGCATGACGTGTGCAATTTATACACATGCAGGCAATACACTCATACACATGAAGTAAAATAAATATTTTAAAAAGAAGTATTACTGTGACCCAACATTCACTGCTCTAAAAAGACGCTAAAAGAAACTACTTTGATATGCATCTTTTATTTTTATTTAATTTATTTATTTATTTTGGTCTTTTTTTGAGACTTAGTCATTCATTCATTCATTCGGGTCTTTTATTGAGACATGGTCTCCCTGTAGCCCCAGCTGGCCTGAAACTTGCTATGTAGACCAGGCTGGCCTTGAACTCTCAGAGATCCACCTGCCTCTACCTCCCAAGTGCTGGGATTAAAGGCATGTGCCACCACGCCAAGTTGAAATATATCTTAGATTATTTCATTCTCTAGTATCAAATTTATATAAAAATTGAAATTTTTAAGACTTATGTAACACATTAATAAAAAAACTAGGGACTTCACAATGACAGCAAGGGTATATCTCAATGATCACACCACTAAAGAAAGATTATCCCTAATATCCATACTCTATAAAGCTGATTAAAACTAGCGAGATTTTAGCCAGGTGTGGTGGTACACACCTTTAATCCCAGCACTCGGGTGGCAGAGGCAGGTGGATCCTTGTGAGTTCAAGGCCAGCCTGGTCTACATAGTGAGCTCAGGTCAGCTGGGACTACGGGGAGACCGTCTCAAAAAGACAAAAAAAAAAAAAAAAGTGAGGTTTTTTTTTTAAAAAAGGAAAAATACTATAGATAGTAAGACTGGCTTTAAAATTATTATACAAGAAAAACAGTGAAGAGACCTGTTTTTGCTTCTCTTAGAGCACAGGAGTTAAAGAGCTACAGAAAAAAAGGGAAAACTTTGGTGTGTGTGTGTGTGTGTGTGTGTGAACGCACGCACACACACACACATGAATGCCACAGAGCATGTGCCAAAAAGCACATATGGAGGTCAAAGGACAGCTTCTGGGAGTCAGTTCTCTCCTTCCACCATGTGGGGCCCGGAAATCAAATTCAAGCTGTCAGGAGCAGCAGAAAGCACCTTTATCCACTGAGCCATCTCCCAGACCAAGAGAACTACTTTTTTTTTTTCTTCTTTTTTTTTGTCTTTTTGAGACAGGGTCTCCCTGTAGCCCCAGCTGTCCTGGAACTCACTATGTAGACCAGGCTGGCCTTGAACTCACAGAGATCCGCCTGCCTCTGCCTCCCAAGTGCTGGGATTAAAGGCATATACCACCACGCCCGGCAGAGAAAAGCTTGTCTCCATTTAAGGTGAAAGCAAAAGTTAGCCAACTGACTTACTGTCTTCTGACTGGAGCCGTGTTCATAAATAACCATAATGAATTCACTTCTACAAATTAAAATGGTTCACAAATAACTAACCTCTAAAGTTTCTTCTAGTTTTCAATGACAGGGATTCCACATGGAGATGTGTGTTCTCATCACTTGATAATGAAAGCTATAATATACTACTACAGGTAGGCCAAAATATGTTATTTAAAAAGAGTCACAGAACTTGGGGATGCAGCTCAGTCACAGAATGCTCACCTAGCATGCTCATAGCCCTGAGTCTGATCCCCAGCACCATAAGAAAAGTACAAGTAAGACAGAAAAGAGATCAGTGTCTTCAAAGATTTTTCTAGAACTCAATCTGATAATATTCACCTGTGAGACACCTAGAATACCTAGGATAAAGAGGAAGGGGAAATAGCATTAGTCAAGAAATATTATTGAATTTCTTAAAACTTGTCTCTGCTAATGAAAACTGGCCATCAACTATGGTATAAAAAGCCTTCACATCTCAAGTTCTCTGATCTGTCAATATGTCCTTCATCTATTAGCTATTCTTGTTTTAATATTTTATTTATTTTATGTGTATGAGTGTATTACCTGCATGTATGTAAGTGCACCTGTGTCATGCAATGCCTGCAGAGGTCAGAAGAGGGCATCAGAATCCCTAGAACTGGAAGTTCAGATGGTTGTGAGCCATCATGTGGGTGCCTGGGTCCTCTGCAAGAGCAGCCTCTTAACCACTGGGCCATCTCACCAGCCCCATCATTAGCTAGTCTATAAAGGTAATACATTCTATTTCCAAATAATCTTTTATATTGCTAAAAATAAATTAGCTATTTTCAAACTAACTTCCAAATAAGAGTAAGAGTCTATAAAGAAACTATACAGAGAAAGACACTTGATTTATGGCTAAAAGAACAATGTAGAAAACATGAGCTTTTCATTAAATTGTGATAGATCAACTGTATATTTACAAAGTAGAAAAAGAATATGAATTCTGAGTTTTGTTCATATCACATAAAAAATAAAGTGCCCAGCTAAAACCTTGAATCATAAAACAAAGACTTGATCAGTTTAAGCACATAAAAATAAAAATCTTGCCAGGCATGGTGGCACACACCTTTAGTCCCAGCACTCGGAGGCAGAGGCAGGCAGATCTCTGTGAGTTCAAGGCCAGCCTGGTCTACATAGTGAGTTCCAGGACAGCTGGGGCTACAGGGAGACCCTGTCTCAAAAAGACCAAAAAAAAAAAAATCTTAAATTTGTAGTTTAGAAAAAGTTTTAAAAGTTCGGCTTTGAAGGACTGGAGAGCTGGTTCAGCAGTTAAGAGCACTGGCTGTTCTTACAGAGGACCTCTGGAAGAGTCGCTAGTGTTCTTAACTCCTGAGCCATCTCTCCAACTCCAAGATTTATTTTAATTATGTGTATGCATGTGTGTCTGTGTATGGCCATGTGTTGGTGCCCATGGATGCCAGAGTGATTGCATTCCACTGGAGCTGGAGTTACAGGCGGTTGTGAGCCACTCTCTATGGGTGTTAGAAACTGAACTCAGGTCCTCTACAAGAGCTACAAAAGTTCTTAACTACTGAAACATCTCTCTAACCCATAGTTACATTTAAAAATACTACCTTTCTTATACAAAGGGTGGTATAATATATTATTTTGTATTTTGCTTATTTTTACCACATGTGTTCTGGAAATCTATATACCAATTTCAAAAATTACATCAATTAATTAATTTATTTATTTATTTGTTTATTTATTTATGTGCATGTGGTGAAAGGGCCTACCATGACACTTTTTGTGTGATGATCAGAACACAACTTGTGGGTGTTAGTTGTCTCCTTCCTTCTACTATATGGGTGATGGAGATTGAACTCAGGTTGTTAGGCTTAGCGGCAAGTGCTTTTATCCACAGAGCGATTCACTGCCCCCCGCTCATACCAATTTATAGTGGCCTTTAAAAAATATTTGTATTAGGCCGGGCATGGTGGTACACGCCTTTAATCCCAGCACCCGGGAGGCAGAGGCAGGTGGATCTCTGTGAGTTCAAGGCCAGCCTGGACTACATAGTGAGTTCCAGGACAGCTGGGGCTACAGGGAAACCCTGTCTCAAAAAGACCAAAAAAAAAAAAAATTGTATTAATTATTTGAGCACTTCATCTAGTATATTTTGATTATATTCCCCTCTTCTCCAACTCCTCCCAGATCCACAGATGTGTGTGTCTCTCTTACATTGGAGCCATGCTAATCTTCTCTGTCATTCCAGTCACAATATAGGTGCTGCCAAAAGGAGTGCTATTTTTTTAAACAGCCATTTAATACTTCACTGAGTTCATCAAAATGTACCAGTTTATTGCTTACTAATGCATTTTTCACTATCTTTTGCAAAAGAGTGTGTTTCATACTTTTTTCTGTTTTTGTCCACTTGGTAGGTACAAGTATTAGCTCAGTACCTGTTTTTTTTCCTTTGGCTACTCAATTCCCACACCGTGTGGTAGCTAACAACCATCTGTAACTCCAGCACAAACATATAAAATAAAAATAATTTAAACATTCAAAAAAATAAAGTAGATATTTAATACAATAATATAAAAATAAAGCATTAGTATATCTGTATATTCATTCAAAAAGAAACACTGGAACGATGACAGAGCAGGGAGGAAAGGGGGAGGAAGAGTCACCAACTGAATATATTTTCTGATACAGTTCTGCAACCACGTTAGTTGTTCCACATACTCAAATTAATAAACAAGGATGTGAACAAAACAGAATATTGTAGGAACAACTACTCACTCTGTTTCAAATGAAAAACATAACCCAAGATCTTCTGAACAATTATTTTGGCCACAAAATTTCAAACTCTCAAACCAAAAATGAAAATTAAATACTAGATGACAGATTTGTTTAGTGCCCTGTTAGGAATGAGCAGTTCTGAAACTATTTTCTATATATTTCAGGATTGATAAACCAAGTATATAAAAATACTATAGATAATAATAATTTCTCACTAAAGAGAAAGGGAGTACACTGCAATTAAACTATCAATGTGAAATCCTACATTTTAATATAGAGAAACAGAAATTGGCATAGGGTCTGGGGCGGGGCATGCTTGCACACATGGGTGTTTCCCAAAAGTAATG